TATACACTGTTGACAGTCTACTCTATAAGAGCATAACAATTAAAACAATCCGCAGTGAATGTATGACTGATATTTTTTACATTTTAACAAAAGATAGTGTAGAAAATATGTTTTAATGTGTTTTCTAATAATGATGTCGATTTTGTATAGTCAATTGAAGATCATAATTCAGTTGTTGCAAACATTTTTTGTATTAATCAGTTTCACTTTAAAAACTCGAACAATACGAGATCAAAATTCGAAATGTTCCAAAATCTATGGAATAAGCTTTATTTATATTGTTACTTTTACAGAATACGCAGTCGCTATAAGAGCTTCTTCAAGACAGAAGCATTTCTCTCGAACATCTTTACATGTTACTAAACGCTCGACTTTTGAAATGCGTGTATTTCTAGAGAGATTATAGTTTTCAGTTGCTAAAAACTAGAACTAATAACTAGAAACAACTATTTTTCTTATTTATATGAGTAGTAAATCATTTTTCTGGATAGTTTTACAATATTTAGTCTTAATCATATTAGTGTATTTAAATGATGTGCTTTGCGAAAAAGCACATTGTTTATTAAATTTATCATTTGTATTAATACTCGTAGTACAGTTGAATGTAAAACTCGATATAATGAAATAATAAAAATTTTTTTTTCTGTTAGAACATCTTTTAAAAATTGAAAGATAACAACATGAATCTCAGTACAACAGGAAACAAACAGATGGAATATAAACAACTAGCATCATTCATCGTCGTTGTGAATGTTGCTATTGTTGAACTAATCGATGTGGACGTAGATGATGTCGTCATATTTTCAATCGTACGGAAAATACTAGTAAGATAGACAATAGAACCAGCAGTAGCATGAGGATTTGGATTAAGTTTAAGAATGTGACAAGCAATATGATAAATATCTACATTATTAAGTGAATCAATTGATACATTTTTATTGAAAGAAGGACCACGAGCCATAAATATGGCTTGCATAGTTGCTAATGTATTATCCCATCCATGGTTACCTTTTTTTGTTATAATCTTTTTTTGTTGTTGCCGAAATATTAATTGAAAATAATGTTCAATTAAGTTAATTAAAAGGATTACTCGAGATATAATTTGACCTTCAGAATTTGGTAATACAGTTATTTCTCCAAGTCGATGTTCTAGTTTTGAATAATGAAAACGTTCAGGAAGTTCATCACGTCTATATACTGTTACATTAGGTAAATTACTAAGATTATTGTAAACTTTTCTAGTCTGTTATTGTTGAATAATTAATTGATAATAGATATATTGTTAAAATGACGTAGATATGCTTACTAGTCCACGTTTTGGCATTACATTGAATAAGGCACCAGAAAGAAGATTTGTTTCAACGGATGTTGGGCTAAGATATTTTTCGAAAAATGGTCGTATTACTCCTGTTACATTGGTCATGCCCTTAAAATCTTGAAATGAATTCGAATTGTTGAGATTTTTCAAAAAATATGTGAAATTATGAAGTTTCTAAATTATCTTTTACATACATGATCGGAGAGTATAATAATATTTAAATCATCGTTGAGTTCTTTCTTTGTTTTATCCAATAAATATTCTATATCAAAATCAAGACGAAGTAACTAATTAGAGAAGAAAAAATCTAAATATATCTATTTTCAGTAAGTTTCTACTTACCGTATTGT